TGGGAAGGTAGGCTAAGAGGAAAAAAGATGGATCAGGCAAGCAGAAGATGGGGGTGGGGCTGGGGGCTACTGTGGGGACGTTCAAGGATTGGGAGAATTGCGCTGGAGACAGCCCAAGGCAGCCCAGTTTGTGTCTCAGGGTCCAAATTTGGTTGATGTATTTTTGAAGCTTTTAAAGGTTAACTCACATGCTGTAATACATTATAGAAAGATATGAGGCTGAATTTTACTGTGCCAGTCAAGAGGCTGGCTTGAATCTGCTATTTAGAACTGAGAGAGACAGTACAATTTACATGTGTGAGAATGTGAGAATAATTTTACCTTCTGTTGTTTTTAAAAAACCACCTTGGGCCATGGTTTTTAAATGGAGGCATGAGAAGATCTGTTGGGGTTCCCATAGCAACATTAACTTATCTAAACTGCCCTGTTGTATATAATACTTTCATGACTGTTTTGGCTTTTAAATGTAGACTTTAGTTATGAAATGCAAGTGAGTTACGAGTCTTGGGGAAATTCTGACTCTTCCATTTACTGATGGATGTGTATTTAAACAGAAACCTTGATAGCTGTATTTCTATAAACTTGCCACCAAAGGTAAACAGAAACAAATCAACCGACTTGGACAGCTCTAGTTCAGACGCTAGAAGTCACATCCTCATGGTGCTAGTCCATTTACAAGCTGACTTGCCCCCGCTCTCTGCACTGTTCCTCATAATGTTTATACACAATGATATTGTTGTGTCCAATTCTCGAGATCCCAAAAGACCACTAGGAGTCGAGCCCATTGCAAAACACATGAGGATCTTTTTATTACAAGCTATAGCTTGGGCTCACATCCTCACCGCTGAAGCGGTTGAGAGCAGAGCCTTGTGTTCAGGGTAGGCAGGTGATTTAAAGATCCCATTCCCACCCAGCATACCCAAAGTAGGGGAACTCCTGCCTGGCAAGCATCTATTGGTTGAAACACAAAAGGGGATGCTACATTTTGAATTGATTGGCTATAGGAAGGCCCCCAAACCATTAATGGTCTGGCTTCCCTTGTTTGGCTGTCCTAGGGGAAAGGGGTAAGCTGGGCCAGTTTCCTAGCAACTGTATCTCTAGTAGGCAGGAAAAGAATGCAGTAAGGCTGGTTCCTCTCTGCAGATGGCTGGATATGACATGTCTCTACCTGTCTGGCCTTTATTCAAGCTTTTGCTTTAAACCAATAACTCAGAAACTAATTTTTAATTCTGTGGTCTCTCAATCTAGTTTGGAGGCTTTGAGAACAGCAAGAGTCAAGGACTATGCCAAGGCCCACCTCCTCCCAGAAGGTTGATTCCTCCCCAGTTTTCCTCTCTTTAGAAGAGTGACTCCCGCCACCTGTACTGTATTGGTGTGATGAAGAAGAAAAGCACTGAGCGGTTTTTCTAAAGATAGTTCCTTGAGGTACTTTGCCTGACTCCATTTGTTCTGAGAATACCATCAGTTAAGCTGTTCTGCCCCAGAAGGCAATGAGGTCAACCTGTTAGTGAACTCTGGGGTTTACACTTTGTGCCCCAAGTCAGGTCTGGCTCTCTATCCTCAATTAGCCAATGAAAGAGGCAAACTTGCTGGGTGATGGTGGAGCTGGCCTGGGATCCCAGCACTCTGGGAAGCAGAGGTAGTTGGATCTCTTTGAGTCTGAGGCCAGCCTGGAGAGCCAGGACAGCCAGAGGGCTACAGATTGTGACCCTGACTCAAGTCAAAATAAACAAAGAACAACAAAAAGTTAAACTACAATGGAAAACAGAAAAAGGCTTGATGTGGCTATATTGAAAAAGGGACCCAGAGAAACCCCAAGTTGGTCTAAATCTTGCAGGATGAGCTTAACATTTAAATAGAGGGCCAAGGACAGCCACATCTACGTAGTCTCACCAAGGTGTGGGCCCACCATTGACACAGCCTAGTCTGGACTTCAGTCTTGTCCCGGAGGGTGGTCTGAAGTTGTAGAATGGTGTGGAATCTCTCTCCCAAGAGACAAGTCCCCCTTTGGCTGGCTGGCGCCCTTTCCTTCCCCCAGCATGAGATTGCTGGGGAAAGTCCCACTTCTTTGGGGTCCACTGTTTCAAGAGTCTTGATTGTTAGCTTGAGACACGTAAGTGTCTCTTTGGGTTACAAACCCACAACCCCAAGTGGACTAATCACATTCTTCCAGGAAACCAAATTCGAAGTGATTTTAAAAGTCTCACACCAGGAAATCTGAGTGCCATGAAGGCCAGAGAGCAGGACCGCCCACCAGCCTGAGCTCTGAGTCGGATTGTTTCAAACAAACGAAAAACCTGGACCCGGCTTTTTCCAGGCCACTGCTCTCAGAGGACTGTGCAATTCCCCCAGTGAGGTCTTGTCTGCTCGCTGCTTAGACCAGGGTTTATACAGACCACAGAGAGGGTGCTTTGACTGCACATTCTCAGCCTTCTAAACCCTGAACTCACTTCTGAACCCGTGACTAGACTTGGGAGGAGGGCTCCCCTGGACCTCTGTCCCTCTTCCCAATGTCTCCACATTGAAAAAGTCTCCTTTTTTCTGCTTTCCACTTTAATTTAGCTCTTTTCATTGGCTTCTTGAAGATGGGTAACCAGGCCTGACTTGGGGTGCAAGTTGTGACCCCAAAGTTTGATAACACATAATGGAAGCATTCACTGAACACAGCATAATGAGGGACTTTAGGGACTCTGTTTTTTTACACAGGGCAATTAGTAAGCCACCATATTTTCTTTCTGAAGCAAAGGAACAAACACATTTCAAATTGTTAGAGGAGAATTTTGTTAAATATGCCTTAGTTGCAGCGATAAAATATCCTGAAAGTGAGGCTGGTGAGATGGCTCGGGGGTTAAGATCACTGGCTGCTCTTCCAGAAGATGTCCACATGACAGCTCTGTTGTTCCAGATTGAAATATCCCAGCTCCCAGGGTTAAGACAAAAAGTAAATAATGCAAAATACTGTCAGGAAGTCCCTAAAACTCACTAGGTTCACTAGGCCCCTCCCTCCTTAGAGTAAACACTAACGGCTGCTCTCAGACAAGCTGAGCTGCAAACCAGAGACCAATGGAGCTGCCTGGAAGAGGCTTAGGAGAAAGGAGGCACCTGGAAAGGACACCCTCCAATCTGCTGAGCAGCCTGCAGATGCCCAGCTTCTGTGAGTTGTCTCCCATGCTGGGGTGGGCTTGGTGCAGCTGTCCCTGAGTCATTTATACTCCTTAAGCAACCCCTCACCCATATTCCTATAAATGACCCTAATAAAACGTATTAGTTCACTAACGTGAACTTTGGTGGTACTGCAATTTGTTCTGCCATGAGCTTCCCATTGTGGCCAAGTAGATGAGTGTGTATTGTCTCTTTTTAAAAGGAACTTTTATTTGCCTGGTTCAGTTGTTATCTTGGAGTATTACTGCCTCTGTCTGCTAACCTAGGCCTAGTCCTGGAAACTTCCAGCCTCTGTACAGTCTAACTTAAGCCTAGAATGTGTTCGGCCTCTGACACTTACTGCTTAATAAGCTCACCCTTTTTGTTCTTCTGATCTCATAGCTAGCTGGTTTAACTCAGGTGTTCTGACTCAAACTCCTCTCTCAGTTGACATACTCAATCTGGATTCTCTTTCAGCCCCTGAATTGCTGCTTGGCCTTAAATTAATTCCAACAATTTTTTTCTAATCTTCTGACTCCTCATTCTCTGGCTCTTTCTGTCTTCACCTGTGTCTCTCTTTGTAACCTATTAATGTTCCGGTAAAACTACCTTCTTTCTGTTCTCTGCATTGCCCCTTAGGTGGCTTTCCTTTCCTCTCTCTTCTTGTGAGAGTTTGGCGTTTCCTCTTCTGTCAAATGTTTCTGTGATTCGTCATTTTTTCTGCCACTCAATTAGACATCATCTTCAAACATGGTTGCTTCCTTCCATAAACCAACTCCATCTTCATTGTTTGGGATTAAAGGCATATACCACCATGCCTGGATCTAAGCTTTTCTTTACCGGAAACTTGCTCTAGATCAGGCTGGCCTTGAGCTGAGATCTGCTTGGCCCTTTCTCCTGGGGTTAAAGATGTGTCTATATTCCAATGGGATCACACAGACCTAGAAGGTCTTTGGATGTAATCTCTTGCCAGAGAAGCCATGTTCTAAATTAAAATTCCTCTATAACCCTTCCCAGGAAAAGTCTGTCATACAACAGGCTGGCAAACACCTGTAGCTAGATGCAGAGGGTCCTATGCAGGCCCTGTGCAGGCAGAGATTACAAATGGTCTCTGTAGGTACTAGGCATGCACATAGTACATAGACATACATTCAGCCAAAACCCATGCACATAAAAAACAAAAACAAAACTCCAACAAAAGCTACTTAGGGAAGAAAGGGTTCATTTTAGCCCATAATGCCAGGTTACAGTCCACTGGGTCACAGCAGGAAGTCGAGGAGGCAGGACCTTGAAGCAGCTGCTACATCCACAGTGAAGAGCAGAGAGAGAACAAATGTAGGTTGCCAGGGTTCAGGATCCAAAGCCTAGGGAATGGTGCTGCCCACTGAAGGCAGGCCTTCCCACATCGATCAACACAAGACAGACTCTCCCAGACAACTACAATCTGGAGACCCTTCCCAGGTGATACCAGATCATGTCAGGTTGACAAAACTAGGCACCACAGCACAACAGTGCCTCAAAGGTGATCTGCATCTAAGCATGGCCTGGAAGTGATGTTCACAAGGCCACACTTGCCCATTTTTGGAAAGGAAGAGAAACTAAAGTTGTATTTCAGACACTAGTATAAGGGGAGGTTGAAGAAAATAGGTAAGAACAAAACAAAACAACAATAAATCTTCATCCTGGGCTTATAAGTTCCCCTAAAAACAAGGCATGCTATGCCTTTGCTACTGGCTGGCTACAGAGGGCAGTTTGACTGCTTTACCACACTTCTAAAAAATTGATAGCTTACATTTCTCAAAACTATATGCCTTCCATCAGCAATTTAATTCAAAGTCTTGAAACTCAACGGAACACGGTTAGATAAAACAAGACCAAACAAACATTTATTTCAAGTTCTGAGAACACGGAGGGTGGAACATTCTTTCCAGTCACTTCCATGTACTTAAAATGCCCAAAGAGCACAGACAACAGACCAGCAGGGCTGCAAAAGCTCTTCTACTTGTCTTTGGAAAAGAAGCCTTTGACCCATATCACACCCTGGTTTCATATCTTAGCATGACACATAGTTCAGTCAGGAGAAAGAGTGGAAATGCTGATTTCAGCTCCTTTGAGTCCAGGGCAATGGCTTCTGGAATTTTCCTTGAACCCACACTCGGTGTATTTTCACCTGTTTTTTCCTATTAACTTGCAAGCGATGATCAACCAGATTTTGCTTTTCGTGTAATCCAGCCTCGTGGAACAGGTGATGGATTTCTCCTTGGAGACAAAAGTGGCAGTTAAAGGTACAGCATGTGACAGGGAGAGCGGAGGTAAGGACCAATGGATTGCCACAGACGACTGCTCATCCAAGCTTCGTTTAGACTAAGAAGCACGATACAGCTAGGAGAAGGAAACCCAGAAAACCAAGCAGGGCTCTTTCATCCCCCTAATATATTGCAAGTGTAAACAGGCTGCCAGGGTCAGCACGCCCAGGGCAGATGATTGTGAGCCGAGCTATGGCTACAGCCTTCAGTGTTTCAAAATGTACCTCCTTTCTGAGCCTTTGCTTGACAGTGACCCCAGATCACATATTATAAAGTCTCTAGGAAGTTTGCAGAGATCCCTGAATAGGCTACCTGGTGGTGTAGGAAACACTTGTCCAAGACAAGAAAGTGACTACTGAGAACTATGTTTCCATAGACTCATAAAAATAAAGTTCTGTCCTGTGGCTGTGGCCTCTTAAATTATGCCCTGCACCAGTGTAAGAGTGAAACAAAGTGACTCTTCTTAAAAAAAAAATTATTTATTTTATTATTTATACAGCATTCTGCCTGCATGTATGTATGTGTGCCTATGCGCCAGATCTCACTACAGCTGGTTGGGAGCCACCATGTAGTTGCTGGGAATTGAACTCAGGACCTCTGGAAAAGCAACCAGTGCTCTTAACCTCTGAACCATCTCTCCAGCCACCTGAAACAAGTGACTCTTTAAAAGTGGTTTTAGGTGGAAAAAGATTAAAAGGCAAAAGGCCATTGCACGCTTTTCTGTGGAATCACTGTAAGAACCAGGGCATGAAGAGATCTAGCATCTAATCACCACGGAGGCCTTGCGCTCAGCTTCTGAGTGTGTCTCTGAAAACAATTACTTGAGGAGAGTTTTCCCAGCTCATCGCTGAACCTGGGCTGGCTAGACCAGCATACCTTTTGTAAAGAAGTAGGCTCTGGTACCATCTCCTCGGACATAAAAATTTTCAGATAGACAACGTCCTAAAAAATAATAAAAACTCAGTATTACCTTAAAAGACAAGATAAACTAAAACAATCTGACACAAGGTATTTTTATATTCTCAAACACACTTGAAAATAACTTAGAACTCGATATACTATCATCTTTTTAAAAAGGTTTTATTTTTTTAATTGTGTGTGTGTGTGTGTGTGTGTGTGTGTGTGTGTGTGTAAGTATGCACATGTGTGTGGGTGCCTGAGGAGGCCCAAGAGGGTGTCAGATCCCCAGGAGCTGGAGCTACTACTGGTGGTTGTGAGGTACCTCATGTGGGTGCTGAAAACCAGACTCCCACCTTCTTCAAGAGCAATGCCCACTCCCAACCACTGAGCCACCTCTCTAAGCCCCTACTACCTTTTTTAAAACGAAGCTGAACATTATCGTATCTTCCATGATCCCGAAATAATATCATTCCCCCAGGCTTCAGCAACCTGGACAGTCGGCGGACAACGGCTTGCATCCTTTGAAAACAAAGTAAGACAACCATGTGGAAATGTGTTACATGCTAGGGTTAACCTTCTTGGAGATAAAATACGAAAATCTCAGTAAGTCAAAGAAACCATATATGTAAGTGAAAAAAATATCAAAAAACACAAGAGCAGTTTGTATTGAAGGAGCCAAATTCAGAAGTTGGAATGAAATGAACTCAGAGCCTGGGCGTGGTGATCCTAGCACTCAGGGTAGCGGAGCCAAGCAGATAGCTGTGAATTGGAGACCAGCCTGGTCTACACAGCAAGTCTGCAACAGTCAAGGCTACACAGAGAAACCCTGTCTCATAAAGCCAACTAACCAACCAGATAAACAAAAACAAAACTGAACTCAGCTGGGAACAGGCTTGCCGGCCTGTGTCAAAGCCGAACCACAAACCACAACCCTGGTTCAGTGCTGCCCGCCTGTGAGCCCAGACTCTGAGGCTACAGTGGAAGGACCCTGGGTTCCAGACCGGCCAGAGCGACTGTCCAAGTACCTGCCAGCCTCTGCTCTGCCCACCAGCCTCAGCTACGCTGTCTCCAACCACGCAGGCAACTCACCCTCCCATCCGCTCATGTGCCTGCCATTAAATGAGGCGGGAGACGAAGGGGAAGGCACTTCAGCTTCTGCTGCAGAATATGCCCTGCTAGAGCCACCTCAGGTTCACCAGCCAAACATCGCCTATCTTCCGTGTTAGTTCACCTCCTGGCCTGCCTGCCTTCCGTTTTTCCTTTCGGGTGTGTATTTATGAGGATGCATGAGCATGCATATGCATGTTGACATGTGTATAAGCCCAAACTTAAAGCCAGGCAGGATCTCTCATGGAGCCCGGGTTCTGGCCAGTCTGACTAGCTACCTTGCTCCTGGATCCTGCCTCTGCCTTCTGAAGGCCAGGTTTCAGGGACATCCATGCCTGCTTGGCTTTTTAACCTGGGTGCTAGGAGTCTTGAACTGGGGTCCTCGGGCACACACAGCACCTTACCCACTGAGCCACCTTCAACTCCTGACTTCTGTAATAAGTTGAAAGGTATCCTAACCACTACCTTATCCATATGCTCATCAGTTCTTTTCATCCTCTTGTTTCTCCCCATTGCTATTTTTTCTTGTTTCCCACAGGCAGGTCCTTGGGACAATTACCTCTGCAAGCCCAGAAACAGAATCGCTTTCTAATATACTGTATTACCCTTCTTGGTAATTCTTCATGGGTGTTATCAACGAGTTATCTGACTTCAAACAACGGTCCTGTCGAATCACCTCACTGCCAACAAAAAGTCATGGTTTTAATCCAGAAAGCAAAGGTTTACTTCCTATAGGGTTCTTAGTATGATCCTCCTGATGGCGTTTCTACTGCTTTCTAACCAAAAGCATCTCTTCCAAACAAACACTAGGGCAGTCTGGGCTCTGTAGCCTGTTCCTTTGTATTCATGGCTTCATTTCAAGAAAGAGAATTCTCTTTTCCTTAATCTTGGCATATTTTGACTGTAGTCACATCCCAATTCCGGGCTCAATAGCAGGAAGTCCTTGCTTTGTTCTCGGCAATTACTCATTTTGCTTATGCAACATGCAAGCAAATGCGACCTCTTAAAATAGACCTTGATGTAGTATTTTGGGTTCTGCGTTCATGGCCTATGTTTTATGGGCCAGGTCGTTGCTGAGGGACAGGCATTAGCTGCCCACAGAGCTCCTCTGGAGAGCTCATGGAGACCAGACGGAATGACAACCAGGCTTCAGAACTTCTGCCGCGGCCTGCTGTGGGCAGGAGAGGAAAGGCAGCCTGTCCACAGGGCAAGTCTGTGTTGTCTCTTTTATGTGTTTGAGTTGGGCTTTTAAGACAGGGTTTCACACTGTAGCCCAGTGTGGTCTGGAGCTCATTATGTAGCCCAGGCTGGCCTTGAACTTGCAGCAGTCCTCCTGCCTCAGCATCCTGAGTGTTAGTGTTATATATGTAAGCCACCAACGACACCAGCTCTGCTTCTGCTTCATTTGATCCCCTTACAGTTGCTGAGGCTTTCTTATTTTGAAAAGACGAGGAGATCAGCTCAGTTAACTTATAAATTCCTTCCAACTAAAGCAATATTCGTGGCCACTCAGCAGGTAAAAGCACTTGGCACGAAAGCCTGGCAACCTGAGTGGGACCCATGTGAGGATGAAAGGGCAGGACCGAGACCACAAAGTAGTCTTCTGACCTCCACATACGTGCTGTGGAACACACAGGACCGCATACATACATACATACATACACACACACACATATCATACACACATACGTATCACACAGACACACACACACACAATTATTTCATTGCCTCTCTTTGATTCGTTTACTTTTCCTTAGTTAAAATGTCTGAAGGTGGGGTTTCACCGTGTTGCCCAGGTTGCTCTCCCACACCCAGGGCTTGAGGTGTCCTTCCGCCTTAAGCACCCGAGCAGCTGGGACCAGCACCCCCAGCTCGCTCACCTTATGTTTAGCTCACTTCCATATATACGTAAAAAGGTTGGATTGACGAGATACATTTGAATTTACTTCAATAACAAACATGAATGCTGCATCCCAGGATATCTGTCTTTCCTTATTAATATTCAATTCAAATTACAATAAGATGTATCTTAACCAATCTCGAATAGTCTTTCTGCCATCTTATTTGGAATCTGTGCACTTCCTGTTTTAAGTACCACATAAGAACTGTTCTTCACCCCCGGCAGCATTCTTTAACTATTCGCAGAAGGAAGCAAACACAGAAATGGCATTTTGACTGTTCTGCAGCACTGCCAACAGATGAACAGATTATCAGAAAAGAAAGATGTTGTGGAAACCGAGGAGGCAAAGTGGCTTGATGGAACCTACCCTACACTTCAGGTATAAACATTATCTTCTTTTGGATTAATTTGGGAATCAAACTTTCCCTCTTTCAGTAGTAAAGTCCTCAGCCTTGACTGGGAACTAAAAAGCCAGCAAATGTCCTAGCATCTCAGCACACAGGAGCCATGTTTCTGTGGGAAGGCACCGTACTACCAGGCAAGAGGAATCGAATGCCTGGTAGTACGGTGCCCTCTTCTCGGGGCTGTGAAATCTCATAAAAGCACAAGTCCTACTGGGTGGCATGGTGGTGCATGCCTGTAATCTCCGCAGTGGGGAGGTGAGGACACCAGGGCCACTGGGAGTTTGAGGTCAGCCTGAGCCAGATAGAGAATTCAAAGTCAGCAGAGGCCACACAGTGAGATTCTTTCTCAAAAATAAATAAACAATTAATTAAAATCGAAAATGAAGACCAACATGTAAACATAAAAATGTAAGTCATACTTCAGGGGATACAGACACTCAGTACAAGAGCACATGTCCAACATACAAGATCCTAAGGCTAATGCCAAGTAGCGCGCACACTCACACACATACATACACTCGTATGTACACACTCACACACACACATACTCACACCACACACGTACATGCGTGCACACGCATACATACACTCACGCACACATACAAACACAAGAAAAAAAAAACATGCCCACACAAACAAATCACAGCTCTCGACCCGCCCTGGATCCTAAAGGTCCAACTGCAATCTGTCAAATCACCACAGCCATGACTCCCAAGCAGGCTTCTTTGAAACAGGAGTTTGAAAGTCCCTCACTGGTCCTGTGTGAAGCTATGCAGACTGCAGCCCTCCTTTCCCCAAACACTCAAGAAGATGCTAAATCAAAGATGTTTGTTTCTGATCACCAAGTACAATCTCCCTCCTGGGAGTCTATTAGGCTGTTCTGCATGTGTAATTTCCTTGAAGTGCTGTCACTTTTAATAGGTATGTGTCTTGCCGGAATATGCTCGCTTCATTCTGACAGTGACAGAAAGCTTGCTAATGACGCATTTGACCGGTTTCTTAAAGTGTGAGGAAAGGAGAAACGGCGTTTAAAAGGCTGCATGTTAAACAGAACGCAGTTCAATAAATAATAAAGTCAGGCATTGTCATTTTTGCTTTGAATAGTTCTAAAGACCATGAATGATGGAGGAGATTTACGCACTGGCTTTGCCCTTTCGTCTTCATTTACCTGTCAGGGTGAATGGAAGAGAGTACAAAGATGAGGAGAACGACGTCCAGGCTCCCGTCTGGAAAAGGGTAGGCCAAGCCGCCATCGCACACATCGTGAATGAAGGCAGAACAGTGGGCCTCACTGTAGGATTCATGTGACTGTCACGGTGAGGGATAAAAAGCAGGAGTTAGCAGACTTCCAGAGGGGCTTTCCCTTATCTTATTGTTCTTTCTTGCTTTTTTTTTTTAGTGAAAGGTTGTTTTTAAAAACTCTCTTTCTTGGGTCAGTGAGATGGCTTGGCTGGTAAATGTGCTTGCTCTTGGGACTCACATGATGGAAGAAAACTGACTCCCCCAAACTGTTCTCTCATCTCCACATGAGGCCCTTGGCGAGCACACCCCCACAAACAAATAAATTAAAAAATCGTTTTCTGTGAATCTGAATAAAATTCATCTCTAGTTCAGTATCCTGTTAACTTATTTCAAGCTGTCCTAAAAAACCAACCAACCCCCCCCCCAAAAAAAAAAAAATGAACAAACAAAAAACAAAAACCTAAGCCTAAAACACTTGGGACTTGCTAGCAAACACTCTTCTGTTTTTCAGTTTGGAAGTGGAGTAAAGTAGGTTCTGGGCCTGTTGGCAGGTCACTCCCGTGTTCTTTGAGAGGTGCCAAGATGGTCCTCGTGTGTCCCTGATCTGCTTTTTCTATGTTCCCTTTTCCGTGAAATACAAAACATCTTCCACTACACATCCAAAATTAGGTAACAATGATGAGCACGCAGCGTCACACATGCTAAAGTCCACTGTCTTGTACACTTGAATGGGATGGTGCGTGAACCAGTTCAGTAAGGCTATTCGTGGACAGCATTAGGGCATAACACACTACGCATGAGGTCTGCAGAATCTGTTCTGTGATCAAGCCACAGAAATATCTCACAGAGGGAAGTTTAGTTGGGGGGGAGGGGAATGGAGAGGAGTGAGGGGGCAGATGATTGGACACGTAGTCAGTCAGACAGACGGGGCCAGAGCCATGAGGGCAGAGGACACAGAGAGAGAGAGAGAGAGCAGAGAGAGAGAGAGAGGTCGAGAGAAAAGGACAGAGAGAGACAAAGACAGGGACTGAGGACCGAGAGAAGGGGTGGACAGGCCTGGCTGCGGTGGCAGGGAATGACGTAAGAGGTTGCTAGGACGCTGAAGGCAGCTAATGGGATCACCCGTGAGCCAGCGGAGTGAACACAGAAGGAGAGACGCCAACCCATCATGCCACCCTGGGAAATGTGAGTACTGGTACACTTGCCTTCTTCTTTGGGCCTTTTTTTTTTATTTTAGGAAATGTCTGTAATAAATACTATTCTTGTCAAAAATTAATTTTCAGTGTTAACCTTGGAAAGTATTACTTAACTTACACGTTTAACACATTTTTTTGTTTGTAGCTGTTTGTGCGTGTGTATAGACACACGTGTGTGTGCAGGTGGACACATGTATGGAGGCCACAGCACAACTTCAACTGTCTTTCCTCAATATAATCCATCTTACGTTAGAGACGGGGTCTCTCCCTGGCCTGGGACTTGTCTAACAGGCTAGGCCAGCCAGCCGTGAACTCCCAGGAGCCATCTCTCCGCTGGCGCAGGGCTGGCGTTACAGGCACACATCACCACACGCAGCCTTTTCCATCCGGGTTCTGGCAGCTGAACTCAGGTCCTCAGGCTTGGAAGGCAAGCACCTTACTGGCTGAGCTATCTCCCTACACTCCTCCTTGTTACTACAATTTCTTTCCACTCCCCGCTCTAGGCAATGGCAAACGCTGTCTTCGTTCTAATGAACGCCAGCTAGCATTTATGAATTTGTGCGAGAAGCGCTGGTTTCCGAGGCTTTCCTCACAGACTCTTAGCTTTTCTTATCTCAAACATTTCAATGCAGTGGCTACCATGAGCCAGGCTATGTGTAAGATGTGAGGGATGGGCATGAATAAGAGACACCTTCTTGTGGGTTTAGCTAAAAAAAATCCAGCTTGGGGCAGATAGTTAAAATATTGGCTAATATTATTGGTATCCTTTGAACTTCATTCATGAACGTGAGTTTAGTCTGAATTCAAAATGATTTTTCTTTTTAATTATGTATATATGTGTGTGGGTTTGTGCCTGAGGGGAGGTGTTAGATCCTGGGAGCTAGTGAGAGGAGGTTGTGAGCCACCTCAAGTGTGTGCTGGGAACTGAACTCGGATCCTCTTCAAGGACATGAGCCATCTCTCCAGCCATGACATTTCTCTAAAATCCAAAACAACTTCTACTGTTTCGGGGAAAATGGGCATCCTCTACCTACTTTGGCATCAGTTGAAATGACTTCCAGAAACTGCAAAAGCTCAGCAACAAATGGCCATGGATGCACTTGATGCATCAGTAACTTTAAAATCAAACAAATCAGGCCTTTTAAAAGTATTTTTATTTTTATATGTATAGGAGCTTTGCCTGCATGCATGTCTGTGCCTGGTGCCTGCAGAGGCCAGAAGAGGTCGCTGCATCCCCTGAGGCTGGAGTTACAGATGGCCATGAGCCATGATAGGTGGGCGAATTTGTGTTAGATCCCTTGGAACTGGAGTAAGAGAAGTTACCATGTGGGTGCTGGGAACTGAATCTATGTCCTTCAGAAGAACAACCAGTGTTCTTAAGCTAATCTCTCCAGGCCTCTCAAACTGGAACTTTTAAAGCCTTTCTTTACTTATTTATTCATTCACTTAGGTTTTATTTTGAGACGGTCACACTACGTAGCCTTGGCTATCCTGGAACTCACTATGTAGAGCTCAGGCTGGCCTTGAACTCACAGATGTCCACCTGACTCTGCCTCCCAAGTGCTGGGATTAGAGGCGTACACCATTACATGTGGCCCCTCTCCTTATTTTTAATTTATGTGTGTGCATGCATGGGTTTGAGTGCTGTGGACTTGTGTGTGTGTGTACATCAACGATCAATCCTGGCTATCCTTTTCCGTTGCTTTCTACCTTGTATTTTGAGATGGGGTCTCTCCTTGAACTTGGAGCTCACTGATTTGTCCAGATTGGTTGGCTGTCAAGCCCCAGGATCTTCCTGTCTCTGGCTCCAGAGTACTGGGAGCACAGGCCCACGCTGCCAAGCTGGCTTTTTAACATGGGTGTTAGAGATCTGAACTCGGGTCTTCCTGCTTGCATGACAGGCACTCTGAGGACGCAGGCGCCCCGTGAGCCCATGGCTCTCTTTAATACAGCATACCTTCACGAGCTCCACAGCTTCAGGGGCAAAATCACAGCAATAAAGAAAGGCTCCTGGGATGTTCCTATGCAGACAGAAAAGACATTCAAATCCAGAGTCAGCTGTGTTCAAACTAGAGAGAAGAAGGCGCAGGGTGACACACACCTGTCGCTCCAGGGTACCGTGGAAGCCCCTGTCCTGGGCTGAAGGAGCCCCTGCCTTATTTCCTAGCACACTCCCATGTTGTACTTCTTCCTTTCTTCTCCCTGTCACCCAGTGTGCCTTCAGCTGCCCACATCTGCCCTCTCCAAGCCCCTCAGAACCCTGTGTCCTCCAGTCTTCCTTTATTTACAGTGTGTTTGGCTTTTGAACCTTTCCAGACAGCTGCTCTGATACCCTGACTGGACAGAAACACATATAGTTTCACAATGGCGACCGACATAATTTTTTGAAGGGGAATTAAACTCTAGTATACAAATTTTTGGTTATCTTTTCTAGTTATTGTCAGGCACTTGTAGAACCTAATGGATACACCAAGAGTGAGAATATAAAGTAGGAAATGAAGTTACCTAATTAAATACTGAGATTGTGGGGTTAGGAGCCCATGAACCTGTATCGAAATCCTGGATTTGTCACTTATTTGTGAATTTGATTTAACATCTCTGAAAAATCAGTTTCTTTATTTACAGTATGCTAATAAAAATTCTTTCATTTATTTATTTTATAGAGGAACATTTACCCATATGAAAATCTTGATTAATTTGGCCTCCAAACTTAAACATATTATATTTGGCCTCTACTTGAACTAAGGAGTGACAGCTGGACTCTGCACTGTTCCTGGGCAGGCAGACATTAGAATTCTGTGGGCCAGTGCGTTGGTGCTCATCCTCTGTATACTGGCATCAAATGATCTTTGTACCATGCTGCTTAGAAAAGGTCTGAATTGCTGAAAACAGATGAGTATGTCATCACACAGCAATTGTACGCGTAAGTGTGAGCCTGGCTCTTGTGGACATGGCTGGTTTCATACAACCTGGAAAGGGGTCGAAGGATCAGCATCCCAAAGTGTCTAAGTTGAAAGTTTTGTAGGGACAGGTTGGCACTCTGAGAATTGGCATGGCAAAAAGGTTTAAGGGTGGAAATCAAATGCCAGGAATAAGAAGCACAGTGATCTAAGAGTCCAAATTGGCACGTGGCAGGATGTAAGGAGAGGTCTGAAGTACAAACTATGCCTCTTAACTAGATTCAAGAGACACTTCAGGCCAGGTGGACTTCTAAGTAAATACGGATACAAGTGAGAATACAAATTTAGCAGCCTAGACTTAGATTACACTCTTAAAGGCTACCTGCTGATAAATACTACAACTCATAATTAATTAATTAATTAATTGAGGCACTAGGATTTGCATTCAACTTAAGATCTGTCCAAACAAGTAAAAGTATAATAAATAGGGCTTGACTGTGAAAAGTCACCCAGCACTACATCAAAGTAAAAGCTTGCAGCGCTGGCTTTTGCTTTGCTCTTCATTTATCTCATATAAAAATGTTACTTTGCCAGGCATCGTGGCACATGACTCTACTCCCAGGACTTAGGAGGTCCAGGCAATGTTCAAGGACAGTCTGGGCTACAGAGTACGCTTCTGTCAAGAAAGAAAAGAAGGAAGAAAGGAAGGAAGGAAGGGAAGGAGGGAGGGAGAGAGAGAAAGAGAGAGAGGAAGGAAGGAAGGAAGGAAGGAAGGAAGGAAAGAAAGAAAGAAAGAAAGAAAGAAAGAAAGAAAGAAAGAAAGAAGAAAGAAAATCTTTGTGCCTTATTCTAGCATACATTTTGTAATCTTCCATGAAACCGAGATAGGTGTGACCTGTGGTCTACTGAGTGCTGTGTGTATATGACATGCGCTCCGTCAGCACTGAGACACGTGTGATCTGTGGCTAAGGATGAAAGGCCTCTAGGACCAGACTGCCCAAGTCCTAACACTTGGCTCCACCAGTACTAAGTGACGTGTCAGGAGGAGGGTTTCTTAATCTGTCTCCAACTCTGTCTCTTCAGCTTTAAATAGAGATGGGTGTGATGTTGGAGACAGTTGTGACAGACCATCTGAAGGGATCGACGTGGTAAGGTTTCGAGAGATTCACGCATGGCTCAGAAGAGCAGGCAGTCAACAGCGTCAGCCATTATAGCTGCTGTTACTATCATCATCATCATTAAAGGAGACCTGCTTCTGCCTTCCAGGGACTTAAAGACTAAGATGACCCTCTAAAACTGTCTACATAATCCAGAATGCCTTTCTGGACTCAAGTCCACCTCACACATACGAGAGAGCTCTGCCATCTGCCTCTGAGCAGTTACTGCGCACGCCTAGACACAGAATAGTCTAGGGGTTAAAGGGAAGCACGTGCCATGTGTCCTGTCAAGGTGGCGACCTGACCTCTGAGATGGAATCCCCACTGCATCAGCAAAGCAAGCTCAGGCCTTGTGGCTGCCTGATGGCTTTCCAGAGTCTTTCTGCAAAGTCAGCTGACGGCTTTGGCTCTTCTCCCGGTGGCCTGGTGTGCAAGCCACCACCGCCGCCACGCCAGGAGGACTGTCTTGGTGGAGGCCTGAGGATCAAATGATCCTTGGAGAATGATATGACCTCTCAATTCCATTGGTCTAATTATGGTAAAACATGCTGAGACTATAACGTATTAATCCTGGGGGTGGGAAGCTGAATTCCCCCTGAGGAAGGCGGATCACTGGCTGGCTTCTAAAGATGAATTAATTTCCCCGGGTTATTAAGCACACCTGTAATCCCAGGGATGGGGGATGAAACCTTGTTGGAGGCCATCCTGATGTATACAGCAAGACCGTGCTGGATAAGGAAGATGCATAGGAAAAAAGAAAATGAGGAAGAGGGGAAAGGGGGGGGGGGCGGGGAAGGGAGAAATACAGGGTGAAAGTACAACTAACTAGTATGGACTCAGAGAGTAATAACAGTATATATGGAGCTCTTGCTATGTCACACTGTTAGGCTACCTGGAATATAAAAAAAACAGAGAATGAAGAAAGTTAAAGAAAACATGCTTAGTAACGCCTTGAGATCAGAGAGTAACACAACCCCTCGCCAGGGTGGGCATGTATGCATAGTGGGGAAGGGGCCTGGTCACGTGAGACAGGAGAACAGAACATTTCATCTTAGAAGTTGGGAAAAGGGAGACCAGATAGTAAGTACAAGAAGAGTAAGACCATCCTCATTATCAGCACCGCCCACCGTTGGCCACTGTAGCGGCCGGTAGACAACACTGGGGAAGCACAGTCTCTTACATACGGGGTAGGAAGGACCAGAGAATACTGGGGTGCATCCTGAACCCAGAAGTGGCTTGACGATTGGCTTGTGTTAGTAATTGTTGAATCAAGGTGGTGGGTTTCTAGAGATTAGCTGCGCTGCTCTCTGCTTTCCCTGATGCTTTTCTTGTGAGACAGGGTTTCTCTATGTAGCCTTGGCTGCCTGGACTTGCTTTGTAGACCAGGCTGGCCTCGACCTCACAGAGATCTGCCTGCCTCTGCCTCCCCGAGCACTGAGATGAAAGGCATGCGCCACCATACCTGGCTTGTTTTTACATTTTTTGTAATTGAAAGTTCAAAAGATCATATTGTTGGGGCTGGAGAGATGGCTCAGAGGTTAAGAGCACTGGTTGCCCTTCGAAAGGTCCTGAGTTCAACTCCCAGCAACCACATGGTGGTTCACAACCATCTCTAATGAGATCTGCCCTCTTCTGGCGTGCAGGTGTATGCGCAGACAGAACATTGTATACATAAAAAAATAAATCTTTAAAAAATAAGATCATATTGTTGAGTTAAAAAAATAATTTAAAAAATTGCACAGTAGCTATGTTAGATGATGAGAGAACCTCTCACCTCCTCCTGATGGAAGTTTTCTGAAAGATGTTTATGCTGATTTTAGTGGATGAAAGGTATGATGTGAAAGCTATTGTGTACAGTTGAAGAAAGAAAGACCTGGAGAGGTAAGAGGAGGTAAAAGGTGTGGATTTTTGTAAGGGACAGCCTTATCACAGAAACGAAAACACCAAGGCGGGGCTGTTGGTGACTGTGAAGGGGGCTAAGAAGGACATCTGTGTCACCCTCATCCATTTCTACTTTAATGCGGCTTTCGGTCAGGGCTACCACTCCAGATGACTTTGAGTCTGGGCACAATAAGGTGACACACAAAGGGCATGTGCTGGGTGCCACTCCAGCGATGCTGATAGCATAAGATAAAGAGGGAGGTGTGTGCCTCACATTCAGTTTCCTGTGTAAGGTGCCATCTGGTAGCCAGGAGGACTACACTACGTCTGACGCTGAGCAAAGCACAGCCTGGTGGAAGGATGGAATCTCTTGCTCTTTTTTCCCTCTGCTCTCTACGTAAACACAAGTTTAAAAACTGCTTCAGACCCAGGGCTGTGGAATGCTTTTCCGGAATGTTCCCCGCTCTGTGTGATGCTAGTCACTAGGAACGTGCCTTTTGAAACTTGCTTTACTCATAGTCTTGGCATAGGTATGACAAGGTATTTCCAGAATTTCTCAACATCCCATAAATATGTAAGATTTTGTAAGGGAAAACACTTAAAACTCACTGCAAGGTGTTCAGGATTGGAAAAACACTATTTCCAGCACCACAGCCAACCTAAAATTGAGAATAAACAAATGTGAATACATTACATTTCACTCACAATACTGGATTTTCGATTTAAAAAAATAAACGATTATACTGGATTTCTGGGTATGGCAGAACTTGTGAACTCAAAGGCCAGATGAAACAAGTCACAAGAGTAACAATCCAAGCCTGACTATGAAAATAGGCCCCTCCCAACTGAACTAATAAGTGGACAATGCATCGTGGGCACCATGGTGGCAATGAAGCTTTGCAGTAACTGCGACAGAAGGCAGCGGACAGAATACACATGAAGAGCACGTGACTTCTCAGTGTTTGAAGGGCTGTGAGGCCCTGAGTGGCCCTGAGTGGTGAAAAACTCATGAATGAAATCAGGCTAAAGAGGGCCCTGGAACTCCAGGCCTGTTATTTCGGATGCTCGGGAGGCTGAGGTGAGAGGACCGAGCTACAGAGCAGGTCCAAAGCCAGCCTGGGCAACTTAGGGAGGCCCTGTCTCAAAATGTGCTGGGTTGCAGGACTCTGGCCTATCACATGCAAGGTCCTTGGTTCAAACCCTAGTGTGGGAGTGGGAGAGAGCAAGAGAGAAGTGGCGGGGAAGGGGGGCTGGTCTTGAACATGTATGATAGATATTCTTGTTTCTGTCTCCTGAGTGCTGGGACTACAGGCAAGTGCCACCATACCCGGAGCTATTAGTGTAACTTAAAACAGACTCTGATTTAAGAGCTCTGAAAAATCCCAAATATTATAAACTAGTAAATCTAACCCAGAATGGGAAAAGGGAAGGCAGGTAACATCTACACCCAAAGACATTTGCTGAGAAAACAATTAACTGCCAGTGCTATATCAGCAGGTAAGTATAATAGTATCCGGCAAAATACTGTGCAGCCGTGAAGATGTTTACAGAAAACAATCAAAGGCAGAAAACTGCCTATGACATGACGTTAAACAGGGCAACACAAGGTCTCAAAGCTCTCGCCCAGCAGAAAAAGTGGTTAAATAACTTGTTCGTTGAATTGTGGGTAACTGTATTTCTCTTATATGCTCTTTAGCAAATTCTCTGTAATCAACAACTGTTACCCTTAGGATCAGAAACACAGGATTTAGGTTCAAAAATGGAAAACCACTATCTACACAAGATTACAGCAAACTAAACATCTCCCTTATTTTTATTTCACCCCACAAAAGGTAAAAAACAAAGAGCAAAAAGTAGGACCAAAAGTTAGAAATTACAGATTAAGAGAGAAAAAAAGGTAAAGAAATGAAAATTAAGGCCACAAACTTAAAACTTGACTCATTAAAGATGTGAGTCCCTTAAGTACTGCTTATGTACAAGAGCACACTGAGCATTTATTAGATCTGGTCTTCCCGCCTGCACAGTCTAGACCCTTCATAAAACAGTATGGGGTGTGCTCTGTCACGTTCTGTTACTTCCTGTCTTGTCCCTCGGGCACAGTACCTCTAGGACTCGGAAAGTGGCATTGCTGCCGGGAAATTGCTCTGCCTTCCCAGACCGTTTGCTGTGTTCTTCCAAGTCTGGATTGGCAGAGTCAGACCTTCCTTTGTTCCGGGGTTCTGACGAGATGGAATGCTCTCCACAGTGGCTTTCCATTCCGGGAATTCTTGAGAGGTTGCTTCTGACTTGATCCCAGGATGGTTCTCTCTCCTTCTCCTTAGTGGTTTGATCATCAGGAAGAATTTCAGGAAATTCCCTCAAGAGCCAATTACGATTCTTGAAAAACTTATTCTTATGTGTTTGGTAAAATGTGTCCCAGTATTTGCTAGCATCACTTTCAAACTTAACTAAAACAAAGAGGGGGAAAAACCCATTTTACTATAAATTGTATTTCCTACTGACTGCTATTTTGATAACTAAATACCTTTAGTTAAATGTTTAAGCCTAGTGTGGTGGCACACACCTTTAATCCCAGCTCTTGGGAGGTGGAGGCAGGCAGATCTTTGGGTTCAAAACCAACCTTGTTTACACAATGACTTCCAGGACAGCCAGGGCTACAGAGAGAAACCCTGTCTCAAAAAACAAAAACAAACAAACAAAAATAAACAAACAAACCCAAAAAAAACAAAAACCAAATAAAATAAGTATTCAGTAAAAATTCTGTAAATACGTTACATATTATGGTAGTTTGAATGAAAATGACTCCCACAGACTCACAGGAAGCTGCACAATTTGAAAGAATTAGGATATGTAGCCTTGCTGGAGTAGGTGTGACCTTATTAGAGAAAGCGTGTCACTGGGCTGGGCTTTGAGGTCTCAGATGCTCAAGCCAGGCCCAGTGTCACTCTCTGTCTTCCTGCTGCCTGTGGATCTGGATGTAGATCTCTTAGCTCCTCCAGCACCATGTCTTCCTGCACGCTGCCATGCTTCCAGCCATGATGACAATGGACCAAACCTTTGACCTGTAAGCCAGCCCCAATTAAATGTTTTCCTTCATAAGAGCTGCTGTGGTCATGGTGTCTCTTCACAGCAGTAGAACATCGACTAAGACATATGTATTTATCAATAACTGCATTTCCAATTTAATAACTTTAATATTATAATAATTTTACTTATCTAAGGCCAAAAATACAAAAGTTTATTTAATCTTCTTCAAAAGATCAATGTGCAAGATATTTGGTCTTACTCTTAAAAATCTGGTTTTCTGTCAGTAGTTGGCCATTGTATTTTGAGAGGAAGTGAATCACTGAGAATTATTTTTTGCATACATACACACATATATAATACATACATACACACACACACACACACACACACACACACACACATAAAATTTTATTTTATTTTATTTTATTTTTTAAGACAGGATCTCACTCTGCAGCTTTGGCTGGCCTGAAACTTGCTAGTTAGACCAGGCTGGTCTCAAACTCACAGAGATTTGCCTTCTGCCTCTCAAGCACTGAGACTGAAGGCATGTGCTAACACACCTGGCCTGATAAGCATATTTTTAATCAAGTATTTGTGTGTTTTCGGAAATTTTTTTTTTTTTTTTAGAGAAAGTACCCATCCCAGTCTGTCTCTATAAACGCACTTTAAATATGACAAATGTGCTTATTGGTGATCAGAGAAGAACGTAGGACTTGTAAATGACATAATTTTAGAGTGAAAGGGTTCAATGAAACACTTTACTCTCAGTTCCAGGTTCTACATTTGAAGAAAGGAACCCAAACTGTTTAGAGGCCACCCCATAGCTTTACCCTGACCCCACTCCCAAAACCAGAGCTATCTCTTTCTACTGCTGTCTCCTAATGGAAGTCTCCAAGCGAATTACTGATGCTTTCTTGAACAGACAGACCTTAGTGAGGGCTGTCATCCGGGATTAAAGGGCTACAGTTAGGTCAATGGTCTCATAACTTGAGGCATTTCTTAGCCTTTTACTCCCCCTTCCCCCATCTCTACCTTGCATTAACAAAATGATTCAGGCCAAACACAGTCACACAGGCCTGTAATTCCAACAGTTGTGAGGCTGAGGCAGGAGGATCATGAGATGGGGGAAGCCTGAAATACACAGAAGCCAGTCTAAACTATATTGCAAAACTCTTGCTTCAAATAAACCAGGGCAGCACATATCTCTAAGCTTAGCACTTATGAGAAGGAAGGAGGGTCACAAGTTCAAACAAAAACTAAATAAATGAATGAGTAAGTTAATTAAATAAAATAGCCTGCTCACTCTATGTTTCATTCAACAACCATTTCTTGACTCCAATTATGTGTAACAAGGTTAATCCTTAGGCTTAATCCATGGATTAAGAATTATCTTTACCCTAGTAGTCAGACTCATGACATTTTAAAAGTGCTTTCAAAGTCTGGAAAAGCTTCCTAATGGGTATTTAATAATTTCCCAGGTTTAGTGTTAGAGAAAAGTAAGGTAAAGGGCAATGTGTATGTTATAGCGGTCCCCGAAAGGAAGGGGGAAGAGGGAAAACACCGCATGTGCTCACAAACGTGAAGGCGAACGTTCTCACATTCTTACTAGGCTAGCCATAAAACAGCACCATGCATGGCGGCTCATGCCTGAAACTTCAGCACTGAGCAGGCTGAGGCAGAGGGCTGTCATAAGTTCAAGGTCAGCATGGGCACAAATTGGGACTCTGTCTCAAACAAACAAACAAACAAACAAACAAAGAACAACATAAGCAAAATTTAAAAACCTGTGGTTTGAAGGAGAATTTTTGTTTAGTTTTGATCCATATGAATTTACCATCAATTCCCAAATTATGTTAAAGTACACATAAAAATAAGGGATTCCTTTCCTTCTTAATCTCAAAGCGGCTCAATCTATTAACGCAGCCCCCTCCAGCCGATCTCCTTCATTTTGTGGCTGTCTTGAAGCACTCATAGTTTTCCTTCATTTTTATCCATATAGCCCTGTCCCACAGGCCCTCACCCATCCAGGCACATGCTTCCAGAGTCCACTGCAGCAGCAGAAGTAAATTCCATCTGCATATAAGGTCTGAGAAATGACTGGGTCCCTATAACTATAAGGAATTGTGTGACATTAAGTCTAGACCATCATTTCATTTGCACTAACCAAAGGATGCCTACTTATGGTTAATCCAATGGTGCATGTTTATCTTGAAAATGTTCTGTGTTCGCTTTCAACAATCCAAGTGCACCTGTGTACTGTGTGGGAAAACAAAACCACAGTTTGAAAATTAGACTCAGGAGAAAACAGACAACTTCCAGATTTCCCAAGGGTTTCCTTGCGACTTCTCATTTTCCTTTGTCTTGAAATCTCTTTGTAACTCACGCTATGCAGACAAAAAAAAACAAAGATTTTATACCTAAGAAAAAGCAGCCCCAAGACCTACATTTAAAGCTAACAAAAGCCACATTTAGCCAAATCTCTAGCATTTGGTTTTCCAAGGTGAAGCTGCTTGTGAAGTGAATTTGAGATGAATCACCATTAGCTAGAATTTAATACTACACCCTGCTTAATCTCAAGGTGTATCTCATAAGACTTAACTAGGGTGGACTAGGAAATTCAGGAGAGTAGTGTGACAAGAATATGTGCAAGCAGTTCTATTTACTGGAGGGAGGGAGCGGTAACTAACTCAAATGCCCAGCCTAGAAATGAGCAAGTAGGCCAGCACCTCAAACAGGGGGGCTAACACAAAGAGAAACACTCCCATACTAGCTAAGACGCTGGTGGCAACTCTGACATTTCTTTTGTATTCATTCTTAGTGGATGGAAGTTTGGAGCAGCACAATACAGTGATCATTAGATAGCTCCATCCTTTGCAATGCCGTTGGCAAAGCTAAAGAACGATACCTGGGGGCTGGGGCGATGACTCAGTGGGTGACAGCCCCTGCTCTACAAACACGAGGACCTGAGTTTAAATCCCCAGCACCCACAGACAAAACTGTGTGGCTGTGCATGGGGAGTGGACACAGGTAAATCCTGGGAGCTTGCTGCCTAGTAAGCCAGCCTACCTTAAACCCAACAACCAACCAACAAAACAAACAAGCAGTAAACAGTGAGCTTCTACTTCACTGATGGAAACCTGAGTATGCTAGAGGAAGACTTCCCACCTCCTGCTGCAGCTTCCACATGCCCACATGTAGGCACATGTACTTACATGCATGTAACACACCCACACAGAATCTCAGATGAATCATTCATTCACCATGCCAACTTCCTTTAAGAAGAACTGGCGTATCTATACAGCTGGTTCAAGTCCCCATATACATACATACATGAATTTATGAAAAGCAAGCATTGCCAATTGTTAATCTGTAATGCTGTGGCTGTTATAAGCTACATTCAAATATAAAACACATTGGGCACCTAAATTAAACCCTAACTCTTTAATCTCTTTAAGCTCAGGACTCAAAAGGCAGAGGCAGAGGCAGAGGCAGAGGCAAAGCCAAGCAGACCTCTGTGAGTTCCAGGACAGACAGAGCTATGTAGTGAGCTGCTGTTTCAAACAAAAAAAAAAAAAAAAAAATAAATAAATAAATAAATCAAACAAATAAATAAAAACCCACCAGTGACACATAGTTTTTGGCTTATGTCAAATGCTTTTCTTGGATTTTTTCCCATTTACTCCTGACATTGTTGTTACCCAGTGTGCTGCTTATTGGCCTAGCTGAATTTCTACCTTGTCCTAATCTTGTGTGTCTTGGAAACAGGATGTTTTAAGGCCAGGGGTTTCTCTTCAGGTGGGCTAGCCAAAACCAATCAGCACTAAGATAGCTGACAGAACGGTTTCTGGAAGCTGGTTCTTTGCTTTGCTTTTTGTTTGGCTGAGACAGGATTTAACCTAGGCTGGACTCGTGTTTCAGGCTTTCCAGTGCTGGAAGCACAGGAATAAACTGCAGTACTCCCTCGGAAGCCTGCTCTCAGTGACCTCATTTACATCCTAAGTGACAGGTTGTCTTGGTAAGAAGCAACTTACTATAAAAGAAGGGAAAGTGCCTGAGATCTGTCATTCCCAGGAAAAAACGGGATGCCTCCCCTACACTTACCTATTCTTCCCATTAACTCACTGCATCAAGTAATGGATTTCACAGTGATGTCTTCTCACGTGTGGATCATAGTCATCCCACTAACCTTCCTTCTTCTCCTCCCCTCTCCCCTTGCTCCTCTTCTCCCCTTCATTTCACCCATCCCAAACCTATGGCTTCCCTACTTACCATGGCATGAGATCTGTGAGCCCAAGACTCCCAATTGTCTGTGTTTTGGACATTGAACAAACTTGAGCTCTTCCTGTGAAGCTTCATTTTTACCCTCGGGCTTTGCCATACCAAGTGAGGAAAGAAAAAAAAACAAAAACAAAACAAAACA